CCACACCTGTGACTTAAGATGGTGCTTCTCTTTCTTCCTGAGCTGATGACTCTGGTGTGTGCTTAATAATTCAGCAGGGCCCCAGCTCATCTTTCCACACAACCAGGTTGGCCCCTTTCCCTTGAGTCCCAGCCTAGTGAGGAACATTTCCCTTCAAGACAGCAGAAGACACTCTCCACCTGCTTTAGAAAATAATAACTTTCCCTGTGGTTGCAGGTATGATGGTTAACACAAATTAAACCAGAGAAGCCAGCAGAGGTGACTGTATCAATACTACAGTGACACCACAAGGTAAAGAGCTTCTGTTCCTTCCTGGGAACAGGAATAGGCACAGAAAAAATGTTGTGCAATAAGACAGTGTAACCAGGACTGGAGATTTAAAAAATCCAGAGCCCTAAGCAATCAACCCCAGTACACCCAGCACCTTGATGTCCATTATCCACTTTCTTTATTTTTCAGTCTTTCCATGGGAGCATGAAAACCAAAATGTCTGCATCATTGCCCCAGAGTTCTAGCAAGTAGAAGGAGAATGCATCATCTCTCACCCTCAACTTCTGGAGACATAGGGAAGCAGGATGGGATACCCAGCTCATATAGTCCCCAGCTTCACCTGAGAAGCATTACCTCCTTCCCATCAGCACAGGCTGAGAAGCCTCTACATTCTTCAGCCAGGTGTCAGTAATCAGCCTTATTCTTTTCTCTGGACAGGCTCACCTTGCATAGGGCACTGGGAAGGAATAATGAGAAGTGCCAGAGGAAAACATTTCCCAATTTGACTGATTGACCCAAATTGAACTATTTGGCACTGTCCCAAGAATAGAGAGGTCTCAGCAATAAAGAGGTCAGGTGAGCTGGCCTGCCCACCTGCCGTTCCTCTGGCCTCAGTTACTGGCAATCAACAGAAGCATAAAAGCCAATGTCACATCAGCAGTTCAGAAGGGTAAATGAGAAATAGTTGTACCCACTCCTTCAGCACACCAATTTTCCTTCTCTGTGTCCATCTACAGACTGGCTGGAGGTAGTAGGTTGAGTAAGCATCTCCACTGAGGAAGAAGACCCCCCCCTTCCCCTTGAATACTTAGGTGAAGCTGACAACATGAATTAGATGCCAAAATAATTGGAGATCTTTGAAAACCTGCCTATGCTGTTTGTTTCTATCCCTCTTGTTTGTTGCTCTCCCTCATTACACTATTGTTTCCCTGGAGGAAGAGGTTTGAGACACAGATAGCATGATCAATGTTTTCATGTAACACAGAAGTTTCAGCAAGTCTTTGAATGGTGGAGTTGGAGACAATAAAAGCACTGTCTGAATAGTTGAAGGGGATCTTCCTTGTTTTCCAATTGCTTTTAACATTTTAGGCTTGCAGAGGCTGTACAGCTCTTGCACTAATAAATTTATTATGACCTAGTCCCCTTGTAAGGGTACCATTCCATTTGCAGGGACTGTACTGCTCACACCTGCAGGGAAATTGCCATCTGCAAGTGGAGGAGAAAGCAGAATTTTCCAGGCTGGTGTGAAGGTGTTGAAAGATTTCTGGGGATATGGTTGCTGTAGGAAGTAATGGAAGAGAATCTATAGAGAATGACTGATCCTGTTCCACCCACAGGTGCAGTGAAGAACAGACCAAGTTTTCTGTGAGAACTTCACTGGGAAATGTAAGTTTCTTCTAGTTCCTGCAAATTGAAGGTTCTTTGCTTCACATTTTCATACCTATCTCCCTGTAAAAACCTAGCATAGACAGGACAAAAATGCAAATACTTTCTTGGTGTAACTAGTCTAGACACTGTTTCCACTTCTTCCTTTCCCATTGTTCCTGCCTTTAAGGGTTTACCTTGACCAGACACATTAAAATAAAAACCAGTGCCATGAAACCATAGACGAGAACATCCCCAAAGAAACAATATACCCTCATTGTAACTCTCTTCCCCAGAGCTACCTCGATGCAATGGGAATGGCTCTCAGGAGGACTCAGCAGGCTGTCATCCTTTCTCCTGCTTTGTTCTGCAGGACCAGTGGTTAGTCATAACCTGATGAGATCCCTTCCTGTCTCCTTCCTTTGCCACATCTTTGTGCCCTCCCTTGCATCCGGGTCTCACCCCTAAACCACACCAGGACGTTTAACCTGAGGCAAATACAACAAAACAAGCAAGCAAACCTGTCTCCCAAGTGTTAATTACACATGGACTGGTTCCCAGGGAAAACACAGCAGAATGGATTCATCTGCAGCAGCAGTGGGACAAGCTGCTGAGAGGAAGTCATTGTGGATGATGATGCCATGGAGCTGGGCTGCACAGCAGTGCAAAGGGGAACCTGAATCAAGTCTTCCTTACTTTTCTGCCTGTTGCAGTCTCTTCCTCCTGGAAGGTGAGCATCCAGCTGCCAAAGGTACTGTGGTCTCAAGAACAATCACACAGATGGAGGCTCCTGCACTGCATTTGTTACAAGGCATGTGTGTCCAAGACCTCTTTTAATCTTAGTCAAATATTAAACTACTGTGTGGTTTACCCCTCCTGAGTCATCCTCTGAATAGTTATTTCCAGACTGAGAGCAGACACTTCAAAGACAGACAAAAGTTAACAATGACTCAATGCTTCAGGACCCCTTAAAAACACTCCCAAGTTATAAAATCACACACCCTACTTCCCCTTCATGCTAACATGAATAATACATGTCTCAGCTGAAGCTGTGGGAATTTATTCATTTTGCAGAAGATGAGATCAGTAATGGAATTTTAAGGTTAGGAGAGCAAAAATTGAGTTCCGAGTTGGAAGAAGAGCTGCTGCCACAGTGAGGGGCTTCTAGTAGAAATCCTTGGTCTTGGGCCCAGTCTCAATTAAAATTTAATTACTGAATTCCTCCAGAATAAACTGGGCATATTTAGAAACTGTGCCATTGTTACTGAATATACTGAATAAAACTAAATCTGAAGTGACTATAAAGATACAGTGAACAGCAGAAAACCTTGCAGCAGAACTTAGCACAGCCTTCTGCTAAGAGTAAAAGACAATAAAACACCTTTTCTAAAGGCTAGGCTTCGTCATCTTATGAAGGGGCTCATCCTTTCATAAATATTTTTAAGTGCCAGAAGACACTAGAAATGCCAATCAATGAATCCTCCTAGTTCTGTGTTTGTAGGAATTACATTACTCTGATATTGTTTGGCACAAGCAGAAGAGACATCATGTCCTTCAGGCTTGCAGGAAATCTGTGACCTCTTTGTAACACAACACTACTGCTGAGGTAGATTAAATTATTGCCAGTGAGGCAAAAATACCAAACTGTAGTGTTTAGGCACAATTCTGCCAGTGGGGATATCCAAACACAGTCACTGGTTTGCCATGAGGCCAACTGCTCCCTGAGCTCCCTGCTCCTGTGTCAGAGAACTGCACTGAGCCTCATCTGGCTCCACTCTGAAGGCTTTGAAACTTTATCCAGGAAAAATCTATTCCTGATTAAACACAATAGAGAATTCCCAGCAGAGCATCTCAGGCAATGCAGAACAGAAGAAGGAGACAACCTTGTTGCCATTTTTATTTCTCCTGCATGTACTTAAATGTTTAAATACAAATAAGCAAGATCAGCTCCCCCTTTACTGCTTGCATGGTCTGCAGGCAGGTTCAAAATATCTGGTTTGTAAATGGGGTGGGAGACACACTCTTCAGACAAAGACTCATAAAGCCAATGAGGAAAGCAAACATCTCTTTGCTCTGCAGATATTCATGTTTTCTCTTACCAATTTTCAAGGTTTATTTTATATGTTACCACTGCCAGATCAAAATAATTCCCTTTTCCTAACAGATGTCAGTATTATACAAATCAGCATCAGGTCATAGAAAGTCATGAGAGATATGGAAAAATTATATTCCCACAATATTATATTATATTCCTCCTGTCATGCTTGTGACAGCCAGGAGGCAGAAACCATGTTGCTAAGGACTCTCAAGAAATCCTGTGAGGATACACAAGGCTGGATCAGAGTTACAGAAAGAAACAGCAAGAAACAATTGAAATGCTGGACACCAGAGAGGTCTCCCAAACCACAAAGCCAACTGCTGTTTGATGCATGGCTGCTACTTACCACCTCCTTCTGAAGACACACCGTGAAACGCCATCTCAGATTTGCTGTTGTTATTTTAAGTGATGAAATATTTCATTGTAAATAACGTCCAAGCAAATTACCAACACTCCCAGCCTTCCTAAGGACAATGACAGAGGGATAAGAGCAGTTTGCCCAAGGGTTTTAGGACTGTTTACAGATAGAGGGGGTGGATGGCACAGGTGTATGTGTTGAACAGAAGAATTTAATCATGGATCTTCAAATAAAAGCATGAAGGAGAAAAATATATGGGCAGGCAGCCTTTGCATTCCCGTGGCCACAAACAGCACTGTCCTGCAAAGCAAGGGCACTACAAATGGACCATAACTAACCTATATGAAATTGAGGAGAGCAATGAAGAGTTGTTCATGAGTGGGGGGATGATTACTTCAAATTTTCACTGCTGGGGTAGCAGAGGTCCTGCTGCACAGGGAGCGTCCAGGTACGATCCCAAGTGTTTTTGCTGGGGAAAAAAAAAAAAAAAAATACTGTGTCCCAAGAGCAGGGAATTCATGATTTCGGGATGCCGGCACAAAACCTCTTGCAGCACCAACGGCGGTGGGCACTGCACACAGTGCTGCAAGGCTGACTCATTTGGGTTAGCGAGACAAGGGCTAATAGTGCCATTGACGACACCGGAGCAGAAGAGCGACTGCCACAGGACACAGATCACCTGCTTGTCGACTTTCAGTTCCTTTGGAGCATCCTTAACACGGGGATGCAGCTAGCACCCAGCAGGCGGGATGCTCGTCTGGAGTGGCTGCCCCGCACCTGCGGGAGCGAGAGAATCCACCTCGGCTCGGCTCCAAAGGGAGTAGAAGATCGTATCAGCTTGCCTCTCCTCCCCTTCCTCTTACGCAATTCAGCATGCAAAGGAGTGACTTGATTTTTTTTTTTTTTTTTCACTCTCTCAGGGAGTTGGTTTTCACTTCCTGTGCTCGCCGAGCCTTTGTCTCCGCTGGACGCAGCTGAAGGCGCAGCCGAGGGGTGAAGGCACGGCGGGGCGGCGGGGACACCCCGCTCCCGGCAGCAGCTTCAGGCAGAGCGCCCAGGTGGGGTTGAGAGCACATGCCTGGGGGCGAGGTGCAGGGTCAGGACACCTCGGGGCGAGCCGGAATCCCGAGCGTAGCCTCGGCCGAGCCGCTTGCCCCGGGTTGGCATGCACTTGAACATTGTCCCTCTTACCTTCATATGTCTTCTCCCTTCCTTTAGGAAAGGACTGAAGTCTTAAAACAGTGAGAATCGGGGCGCCAAGATGGCCAGAAGGAGCCCGGGTCCATGGTTTGTACCCTGGCTCTGCTTGGTGCTGGTGTCGGACTTGAGCGGAGGACAGAAGGAAAAACCCTTCGGCGAAATGTGCCTGGAGGACTTTACGGCAGGGCTGCCGGACTGGGTGCTGGACACGGACGCCTCCGTCCAGAACGGAGCCACCTTCTTGTCGTCCCCCATGGTGCATCGGAGCAGGGACTGCATGAGAGCCTGCTGTAAGGACCCCGCTTGTAACCTGGCTCTCGTGGAGCGGGGCCCGGGCTCGGAGGAAGACCGCATCCAGGGCTGCTTTCTCCTCAATTGCCTCTATGAGAAGGCTTTCGTTTGCAGGTTTGCCAGGAAAATCGGCTTTCTCAACTTCTTGAAGAAGGACGTGTATGATTCCTACCTGGCAATGCAGAATCACAGACCTAGTGGTAAGGTGCCCGTAATGGATCCCTGCAAAGCGGGGCTGGAAGAGCATTAATGGTTCCCTGGTGCCAGCTCCTCCGGCCATCATATGAGCAGCAGCGCTGCCAAGCACTCGGGGTAGAGTGGCGCTTCTGTGTTTTCTTCTGTCACAAAGGTTTTCCCAAATCCCAATACTCATTTTTAAGATCTGTGCCTCAGTTTACTTGTTAGTGAACAAATAGAGAATCTCTCTTTAACCTGTTTGAAGTAGGTGCAGTATGTGATTACCCGAGTCAGAGGTTTTGCTGCTTGACAATGTAGAGAAAAAGGTGTTATTTTTCTTCTCCCTTCCCATGGCCTTTGAGGTTGGAAAGTGAAATCCTCTAAAAATCTACACATAACCAGGTTTTAAAGGGCTGCATTAATCTCTTAATTGCTCGGGGCAAGGATGGAGGCAGGATGCAATTCACTTACCTTTATTTAACAGCAGCCTGGATAGTGAGGTGTGTCAGTATTTCTCTGCTTGTTGGGGCTGGTCACTGCAGCTGGGACAGGAACAGCTGGGAGAGGCTGGTCATAAAATTTCCCCTTTGGAGGTGGGTTTCTCTTCAACAGCCCCTGTTTCCCTGCTCTAAAAGATTGCACCTGGACACAGAGAGCCAGGTGGAAAATGAACTAATCTGAAACTGACCACCTGCCATCTCCAAAGAGCTGCAGTGTGCTCAGAAACACTAAAAATAGGGGACAGTAGCTTCTCCTTTCCCCTCCCACTTCTGTGTTTTGGTTGAAGCCTAAGAAGGTTGTCATGTGTCTAGCCTGGCTGGGTCTTTGACAACCATAACCAGTTTATCATTTGTTGGTCCCTGGGCAGGTCTGTTAGGGGATATCTCTATGGGTAATCCTCCTCACACCACCTCCCAGCCCACCTGTGGGAAGGAAAGGATCTGTGAAGATGGCAAGGGGAGCATCCAGGTGGGTGCAAGGGCTTGATGATGTGAGCTGGATAGATCGTTGATCTTCTGCTGGGATTTAGCAGCCTGAGGCCTTGCGGGCGCTGGAGGAAGGAAATGGTCCCAAACTTCACAATGACCACTTCTCCATCCTGAGTAGCAGTGTGAGGGGTTTGGAGCAAAGCATGACTTCCCTGAAGCAGCCCTTGGGTGTAGGTGGTTTGAACAGCAGTATGGCAGAGGTGGTCCTCTTGGTCCTCTGTCCCTACTCATGGCTTTCTACTGGATTTTACGGCCTCTTGGCAAAGGTGTCTGACTGTTTCAGTAGTTCTCCCGCATCTCCTTTCCAGGCTCAAAATCCTTTTCACAGGAGCTGCAGTTAGGGAGGAACTGAAGGCCACATCACCAAGACTAGAGGTGGCATGCTGGCAGCTGTCTAAACTCCTACGTGTTTTGCTGTAGGAGGAAAAAGGAATGCATCATCTCTAGTACATCCTGATTTCACAAGATTAGATTAAAATATAACATACTATTGAGCAATTCACTCTTTACCTCTGTGGAGCAGTGCCTCATACAAGAAGACTGCAGGACCCTCATCCCTTGACTGGTCCCAGGGTCTGGCATTCTGTGTGTGTGTATCTTTAGAAAGTGTCCCAGGGTCACCAACCTCTCTATGTGACCAGCAGTGACATGTTTGCTAAAATATGACACCGAGCTGCAGCACCCCAGACACCAATATGAAATTGCTGCCTTGCAATCCATCCCTAGTGCTCCTTTCACTGTTCCTGGCATGGCTACAATGGGGCAGGAAGACCCAGGAGGGCATATCAGTGAGAAGTGAAAAGCACTCCAGAAATGCAGTTTGGTGCCTCTCCTTACTCTCATGGGGCTTGTGCCTCAGACTGCTGTGGGTGTAGGAAGGGCTCAGTCTCTTCTACAGCTGTCTTTGACTTTCAGAGGGTGCTGGGTGCCAGGCAGGTCTCAAGCTGTAGTGACAGACGCTGGGCAGCTCACTGCTGTTATTTGGGTCAGGCTGTGATGTTTGTGCTGTGCTTTTATTGGAAATGCGTTCTCCTCTCTGAAATTTTTAGGCATTGTCTTTGATACCAAAAGCTCTCTGAATAACCTTGAATGACACTGGAGGTCTAGCAGGGGAAAGAGACCAAGGGAGTTATCTTACCAGAGAAATAACTGAGTCCTTTTCCCTACAGCAGTTGATGAGACACTTAAAAATGCAGATGTCCATTTTGATTGGGATATAAACCAAAGAAATCCAAACCAGAACCCCAGGCCCTTCTAGCCATGATGCTGGAATTGGGTCCATGCAGGACCTGTCTGGACAGGAAGGTGGATGTCTGGCTGTCACTGAGGGGGAAAAGGGGAAGGGCACAATGCAGCAGGTGCAGGAGGCCATGTGAAGGAGCCTCTGGGCACTGTGTCTGCCTAGCAGCATAAGGAAGCTCTACAGCATTTTTGCTTCTTGACCTTTTAGGGATGCATGAAGAGGCCAGGTGAAACAAGCATTAAAGGAAGCCAGTTTTGGCATGTCAGGCCTTCCTTCCAAAATCTTGGCCCAGGTTTTGGACTGGAGACAAAACTGTAGTTTTCCTGCTGTTGCACTGTATCACTGCTAAAATGTGAAGTTTTGTGACTTCTCTGGATCCCAGGTTACTGGCAGCCCCCTGATTCTGGCCCTAAGGGTCTGCAGGAAACTTATCTGTTGCTTTATCATGCATTCCTTTCCTGTATGTGCTGCTGTCAGGTGTCCTAGGAGCCTTTACATGAATCACTCTTCCAACATCCTCTGCAATGATAAGAATTAAATGCATGTTTTTTTCTAGTGAATAATGAAATACCCAGTTAGTGATTCCAGTGGGATGACATTAAACAGAAAAGTCACAGGTTATAAGACCCTGTACTACTGCTACTACAGGGAATTAAGCTGTTGAATTAAGAAGTTTATATATGTTTAGAAGGAGACTAGGTAACTAGTTACCTAGGAGACTGGAAAGCACACAGCTGGGGGCTGCTGAATGGACAAATTTAATCTTGGAGTGTTTCTGAAGCCTGATGGAAGTAGCTGAAAGCAGGGAGAGCATATTCTTGCAGTGCTCTTGCTCTTGTTCAAGCACCCACAGCGATGGATGGCAAGTGAACCCAGGGACAGGGGTACCTGCTCTAACCCACTGTGGCCACGCTTACAGTGTTATGACTTCAGAAAAACCTGTGGCTACAGGCAACAATGAACACAGCTGAAATCTGGGTTCTGCACATCTTCTGAATGCATTTTCAGTATTTTGCAGAACAAGAGCTTCTGATTTCTTTGTAAGCTGGTGATGACAGCTTGACACTGTCTCTTGCCTCTTTCAGCTAACATACAGGCTGAAGTCTCTGATGGTATTGTTAAAAGGCATGATCTTCTTAAATGATTCCTGAGCCTGAACTTTGGTGCGAGTTTTCTGCCTGGCTCATCCGGGAGGGGCAGGCTCACCGTGCACTTTATTGGTTATAATGGAGCCCAGTGTTTAAGTAACTAGCCCAGCTTATTCTGGTCTAGGCAAACCAGTTTTGGGTGTGAAACTGGAAAATAGCCTCCCTGAACCTTTGTCCATTTCTTGCTGAACCTTTTGTGGTTGTTTTGAAATGCTCAGTGACACTCTTCTACTCCTGTTGAATCCAGGGCTTGTGAGTAGGAGACAAGAAGTTTTTGGGAGCCACAGGGTTCTGATCAGATATGTGTGCTCCTGCCTCACCATGGAGGGAGATTTGCAGGCTAAAACTTCGGTAATGCATTCCAAAAGGAGAGCTCCCCAAGAGTAAAGCTCATCTTCCTCAAATGTTCGGTCCCATGCTGGTTTCCATTCTGTGGACAACTAAAATGAACAGCGCTGGTATCACAGCTGGGGCTGGGATAGGTCCCCTTTGGCTGATACTGTTGAGCCCTGATCCAGCTGCTCATCCTTAAGCTCAGGCCAGGAGATGGCAAGTTACACAGTAAGTACCCACAGCACAGATTCAGAGGCTAATGCGTACTGGAAGGGTCCTGGAAGACCAGCTGGTCCAGCTCCCTGCTCAGAGTGGGTGATGTGGGGTTTCCACTCCGCTTGCTGTGAAATTAGTGTTTGTCATGCAGCATTTACTGAAGTGGCTACATCATGTCCTGTCTCCAGAGCTCCAGTCTCCTCAAAGAGAATGGAAGTACAGCCCAATCTTCACTAAAATGGTATATACCTGTGGGAGAGTCTTTCCCTCTGCCTGCCAAATAGGACTGATTTCCCACAATCTGAGGAAGGATGGAGGGAACCTAGTTGACAGGTGCATCTTTTGTTATTCTGAAAATATAATCCATTCAGTCATACTGTATTGTTTTAGAGAGGTTAAGTTGATCTGCTCTGTGCACCACTTACAAACCACTACAAAAACCTCTAGAAACTAAGGCTGAGAGCTTTTTGGCTGTGCATGAGCTGTTAGAAAACTGTATGGCTTTATCATGAAGCAAACATGAAGCCCTAAAGAAAGAGCCTGTATTTCTCTTTCTCCAGGCACTGCACTGTGATGCCTTGTTCCCTTTCCTCTCTTTCCACCTCAGGCAAGTTAATACTGTGGCAGCAGTGTTACCTTTTCATTACCTCTGCCCATGGAAATGGAGAGTTTTCTAGTGTGGATGGGTGAGGAAGCTGTTCACTTTTGAATGACTTCCTGGGAAGCAATGCAGGAGCAGAACTTAAGCATTTGTGGGAAGAGCCACACTGTTGCCCACCTGCTTTTGCAGCAGACAGGTTCTGCTGGCTTTGGATTCTTGTAATCTCCAAGTTCTGGTGTATCATGGATGCTGGAATTTGGGTGGCCTCACTTTTGCTCCTGTGTCTGCTGCTGGCCTGGTCAGTGGCTTTGAGCAGTGGTTTTTGTCCCCAGTGAAGTCTTTCCCTTGCCTGTTCCTCAGTGCAAACCATACCTGTCTTGTTTGCAAGTTGTTCCTGCAGAGGCAGTCAGGAGAGGGCTGTAAGGGCCCCTCAGTCACCACGAGAAAGCTTTCCAGCTCTTTCTAGTGACAACCTCAAATCTTTCTGAGGTATTTTTAACCATTGCTTTGTAGTCTCAGCTACTCAGGGTGTATCTGCATGAGCTCTGGAATGGAGGAAATCTGGTTTTCCATAGATCTCAAGGGCAAAAGCTAATATCTGAATTCCAGAAGAGAAAAACCTCCAAACTGTGAGCTTTGCAAGTACATTCTGCCATGGGATTTCAATGGTGCCTGCATAGCAAGGTCCCTAGTGGGGTCTCTCTCCTACATGTATGCTTACCTTTGAAGCCCTTGTAGAAATTTATTATCTTTTAAATTCCTGTTTCCCCATCAATTTTAGTTCAAGTTAACTCGTTAGAGGTGAAGCCAGACAAACCACTGATTGCATGAGCTTTTAAACAAGAAGAAACTTTTTAAAAAGCGAAAATCAGGGTCTCAGGCTTGAATATAGTGTGAGTAGTAAAACTTTTTGAAGCAATTTGGATTCCCTCTATCATACTTTTCTCTGGAACCATGAAGAAAACCTACTGATGTGTTATATAAATAGGAGAGGAAATTGTCATTTACAATGTGACTACAGGACTATATTTCGCAGTAAAAGGCATGCCACAGATAGCATTATAAAGCTTTAACCTCCCTGTTAATTACAGAGTTTTACAGCAGAAACTTTCCATGGTTGAGAGAGAATTATACCAAAGGTAACTTTCATATTTCCGACAGACTTTCAGAGCAAAACAGAGTGGAGTCTCTGTTGTACGAGCAGTTTGCTGATACTCGCTCTGGGTTGGTCAACACTTGGTTCTGGAGCTCAGGTGGAAAACAGCCATGTTCCCAGGGAAGGCTTCCTACAGTCAGTGTGGCAGAAATACTCCAAAGTCACTGAACTTTCAGGCATCCTAAAGAGAAAAGGGATAGACTTGAAAAACAAGTCCTTAAATTCTAGTGAGAATTATTCCTTGACAATCACCACAAATAAATACTCTTGGCTCTTCTTCTGGATGTGAAGAGAGTTAGTAAATTTGGCTAATCAGAGATGGGAACTGGAGAAGTTGCTGACCTATTGAATAGAACTGAGCTTTTACTCAATCATGCAACCCACAACCCAAAGTAGCTGGATGTTTGGCCTGCAATTTTTTGTTTAAAGTGTACATGCTTACCTATGTCAAGGAAAAACATGATTTGGAGTCACGAGTTAAGGATCAGCTTCTGTGTTGTGGAAAAACTGGTCTTTTCCTTGTGCAATTGCACCCACCTACTGGGCTCACCCTGGCAGGACAGTGGCAGGGAGTAGGTGCCTTTCTCCCTGCCAGGCTCCTGATGTTTGCCTAGCAGGAATGGCAGGAATGTGTCCCCTTTCCAGAGCTTGCAGTGGTGTGTACAAGGTGACAAAAGAAATAAGTGGCCTGTTTTAATGTCAGGTTTGTTTGTACACATGCCTTATATTAAATGTCCCTTCAGTAGACTGCAGCAAGAGTCAGCAGCGGGGATCTGAATCCAGATACACAGGATTCAAACAGGAAATTAGGAGTAAGTCTGCAACAGTGAAAATAATCAGCTAATGGAGTAATTTTCTAAGGGGTTTGGACATGAATCCTTCAGTCACAGTCAATATAAATGTGTAATGGCAATTTCTGTCTAGCTCATAAATGATGGTTGGTGCCTTTACAAAAGACTCGGGCTGAGCTGGAACACTGAGTCTTGGACTTAGTACAGGTGCTACCAGGTGGAGTTTCACAGGCTGAGCTATGCACAAAGCCTGCAATCAGAGATGTTCAGGCCAGAAGGAGTTATGAGTCAGGCTCAGTCGTGTCATTGTATAGGCTGTTCTTGCTGGGACAGGCAGGGATCAGTTTACATCTTTTCTACTTACAGTCTGAAAAAAACATTTACTAGATTGTGGAAGGTGCTGGTAAGCTAATCCATGGAACAGTACAAAAATAACAATCTCATTAATGTTTTTTTTGTGCTGTTTTAAAGGCATGTATGTCAGAGAGTGGGGTGAAAGATGAACTGGAAGAGAAAGATTTCCTATTGAAGTCCCTAATTGTGTAGCTCTGGCTAAATACACTAATGTAGTGCTTAGAGATAGTGGGAGGAACTATGAGAGTCAGTTCCACATTCTTCAACACCCACATCAGGCTGTCTCACTAAGTGAAAGGCGGACATTGCTCTGTGCTCTTCTCCCAGGATGTGGTCCCACTCTCAGAAGCACAGTGGCTGTAGCCACAGGACCACCCTCTTATGGTGGTTCCTGTGGACAAAAGTGCTCAGGGAGCCAACTGGCTCAAAGAGAGCCATCTGCCATAGTGGGTTGTGGACTTACTAAATTAGTGAGGGCAGTATTAACGGTACTGATTGCCTGTTGCTTGCTCAGGCTGCAATGAGCACAGCTGTATAAAAGTGTTTTCCTTTCAGCAGTTGAAATCTGGATTTAGCCTGGAAGAATCCTTTTCCATTGTCTTCCTGTAATGGACACAAGGACTGGACCCTTCAGCCTCTTACCCAAGATTCTTCTACATTTCTTCTGCAGATGACCACCCTCCAATAGCTCGCGCTGCTAAGGACATGAGGGTACAGCCAGGGGAGCCAGTGATGCTGAGAGGCACAGAGAGCACGGATGACCATGGGATAGTCAGCTATGAATGGAAACAGATCCTTGGCGACCCCTCTGCAGAGATGAAGGTAAGGAGCTGCAGGGAATAAGCAGCTTGCTCAGTGGCACCTGTGGTCTGCACTAGGTTGGTCAGTCAGAGCCCTGACTTAAAGGTCACCTTGTTCAAGTTGGCCCACACAGGAGCCTGTTCCCAAAAACTGTGGAGCGCTCCTTGTGGCTACCCTCCCTCTCTCACACACTATTTAGAAGTGTCATTTTTGGCCTCATTAGGTCTCAGGCTCCCTGCACAGGACGCTGACACAAGCCTTCGTGAGCAACACCTGACCTGCCTGTGTGGGAGCCACTGAGAGGGCAGAGCTTCCATGCAAGAGCTGCCTCTGGTCCCAAGATCCTATTCAGTGAAGGGCCTTCTCTTAGTTTTAGTCTTCAGTGCATTTCCTCTTCTGTCTCTGAACAATCTGGTCTCAGGCTCTGCTTCTGTTCTCCTGGGGCCTTTCCTGGACTTTGCCTCTCTTTAAATTGTTAAGTTCTTCCTCCTGTTTTATCTGAGCTGGAACAGAGATCCAAGATCTCTGGGGTGTGAACACTGCCTATTTGCTAGATATTAAAAGTGAATTGTGGCTTTAGAAAGGCCACAATAATTTTATAATAATTTTTAAATTATTTATTTTTAACTTCTGCAAAATGCATTGGAAAGCCATGGAGTTGATTTGAAGTTCTTGTGGCACCTTTTGGAAGAATTAGCAAATGAGTACATCAGGCCCAGAACTGATTTTGAGCAATAGCAGTGACAAACTCTAGAGTGACAAGGGGTCTGTGTAATTCAGCAAGTGCTTCTTTTCTTTTCCCTTTGCCCTAGCCCAGCCAAAGCAACTTCTGGGGCTGGGGGGAGGTCCCCTAATATTATATTGTATTAACTACATAAAAATTATTTATGGCAAGGCTGTGTTCTTTTGAAACCTAATTAAAACCAAAGATAGCATGGAAATGAATCTCCAATTCTCTTGCAAATATAGAAGAAGAGTGTGTCAATAATATTGTAGCTTTCTCTTCTGACAAAATAATTAAATACAGCTACCTTATTCCCTATGTACTAAATAAATTACTCATAATGGTTTTAAGTTTTGAAAAGTTACGTAAAAACTACAGGTATTTATGTCCTCTCCAGAGAGTTTTATTTTCCCTTGTTTTTTCACAATGCCCCAAAACGTGAAATACCTAATTATGCTTGTGGTACTTGTTCTCTCTCTATTCCAGTTGGGTACCAGTCCATGGATTTGGGGGGATTGTCTGGTACTGAGACATTTTTCAACCTTGCATAACTTTAGTCACTTATTCCTTAGAAGTAGTTTTCTCCTACCTGAGACTTTCTTTTGCATTCTCAGAAGCATGAAGAAGACCAGGTAGAAATCTCCAACCTCCAGGTGGGGACTTACGTCTTCCAGCTCATTGTCACAGACACTGCACAGCAGCAAGACTTTACCAACATCACCATCATGGTGCTGAGCTCTGAGCAGACAGAAGGTGAGCCTGAGCCCACACATATCTACCTGGAGTCCTCAAGCCTGGGTGCTGCTCTGGCATTATGATGCTTTTCTCAGAAGGGTGGATGGGAGAAGAGCACAACCAAGAGTCCACACTTGCACGTCAGCTTTTCCCAGTGCTAGCCTGCACCAGTAGTGCAAGGTCTCTGCATTCATAGTGGTCCATTTTGGAGTTTTCATGTACCCTTGCAGGAGATGGTACCTGCAATAACTCCATCTGATCTGGTGTCATTGCTCTCGGCTGGGTAACACCAGAGTAGATGAAGCTTGGGGTGCAACAGGAGAATATGAAAGGTCTTGTTGACTCTGTGGTTTTGCTGTGAAGGCCTTAGGTTGCAGGGTAGGTAGAGTCATCTGCAGGGCATTCAATGTATCCCTGCTTTTGTTTTTTTTTTTCCTTAACAGCTTTATTTAACAATGAAAATGTTTAGCATTACAAGTGTATTAAGGTAAGGAGTTCTTTGACAAATTGTTGACTAGTAGCTAAGCAGGGGATGTCTCTTACCACAGGTACCATAAAAATATAAGAGCAGCCATGTCAAGTGATGCTAAAGGTCTGACCAAAGTCCAATACACTGCATTCAACAGTGTGCAGAAGTTGGTACTTTGGAAAGAGTGCAAGAACATGACATGCAAGAACATATCAGTAACTCTCTACTATGCTTGAATAATCCCCAAGGATTTTGCAGCTAGGAGATGTTTTTAAACAGAAGATGATGTCTTTGTGTTTAATAATATACAAATCCCTTTTTGACTTCATGTAATCTTTGAAAAGCAGAAACCTCCTGAAGCAAGGAGTTTCACAGCTTAACTATGAGCTGTATGGGGATGCAGCTGCTTTTATTTAATGGATGTGGCACTTTCTAATTCGGTTTTATGAACTTCTCTTTCATATAAAAAAATGAATTCCATGATTCCCTACTCTCCTTCTCTTTGTTGGTCAAGATTTTATAAACCTTTCAGACATGTCCTTTGGAAGATTTTGTTTGCCTTCACATAAAATAAAAACCAGGAAATCTTCCAAAGGACTTATCTAACTCAGACCCTTTTGTGTTAACTTTCTTGATAGAGCATTGTTTGACTCCAAAGAAGGTGGGTTGGTGTCGGGGATCTTTTCCACGCTGGTTTTACAACCCGAGCCTTCAGCAGTGTGAGGAGTTCATTTTTGGTGGCTGCAAGCCCAACAAGAATAACTACTTACGGGAAGAAGAGTGTGCACTTGCCTGCAAAAATGTCAGAGGTTAGTGCTTCAAAAATCCAGCCCCCTCTTTCTCATAGGACGGGGATGAACCTATGGACAAATACTGCAGCCTCTTGGCTGACACCTAGTTAGAGCCCAGTAAGCTGAGGAGACTGGGCTAATTATGGATGGGCAGTCATTGTCTTAAGCTGCCAACGTATCTGACCCTGCTCCTAAAGCACTGGACAGTGTGCTCTGGCTGCAGAAGCCCTCATCAAATCTTTGTGTTGCATCTGAAGCCTAAATTCAGAGAGCAGCATCATGCAGTTGGGGGCCAGAAGTGCTTCAGTCCCATAATGAAATTAATCTCCCTCCTTGCCATCCTCAAGCCACTGAGAACAATTTAGTGCTGCTCAGATAAATGGGCTGAGCCTCTGCCAGGCCCATTGCAGTGCACAGCTTAAGAAGGAGGTTAAAGCCTTGGAAAGGAAAGACAATTTGGAAATAGTCTACCTTGTGGAGGAAAGTTCCCCTGTACTCCTCCAGGCTTACCTCATGTAGGTACAACTCATCTGGATCTCTGAGTAGTGGGCATCCATATTTCACCTCTGTAATCCAGGGCCTTCTTCCAGGAAATATGCTCTTCTCATGTGATACATGAAAGCAATATAAAGCAGATCTTAAGCTGACAAAATGCTGTGGTAAGTTTATTTTATGTTGTTTTCCCCCTTGTCTCTTCAGGTTCTGTTGGTGGGCGACAACAGCCAGGTGAGTCTCCCACAGGACAATATCATCCTACTGCAAGCTTGGGCTGAGTGTCTCATGTCCATTCCTGTGGCTTTTGATTAGGACTCTGTGAGGCACTGGAGACTAATTTATTTAGTAAGCCTTTCACTTTCATGTCATAGGATAATTTAGGTTGGGGATTACCTCTAGAGGTCATCTGATCCAACCCACTACTGAAAGCAGGCCCAGCTTTGAGTCACCCTTGGTTGCTCAGCTCTTTATTCAGTTCAGTTTTGGGTATCTCTGAAAAAGCAGATTTTACACTTAGTCTGGTCAAAATATGCCAGTGTTTGATGACCATCATTATCATTTTTTCCCCTTATATTGAATTGCTTTCCCTTGTTGCAACTAATTCCTGTCTGTTGCTGCTCATCCTATTACTGTGCTCCAAAATGAATGTCTCTTCTATAATCTCTGTCTTCTCCTCATGCTAGGTTTTGTGCTCCAAGCTCTTGCTGAGATTTACTCTAGTATGCCAGTGTTATTTGTCACTGGGGAGCTGAGAACTGGGCACAGTACTCAGCACTTGGGACCACCTCTAGATGAAGCTTTTGCAGCCCAGTGTGCAGATTTCAGTTTGGCTTTCCTAATTCAATCCCCCATGCTTGGGCAATGTCTCTACATTCTTCCTGATTAGCTCATTCTTGCTTCCACCTGCTATGTACTTCTTCCTGAGAGGAAACATGGCTGTTTCCAGAGTAATGTTTCCTTTATAAATAGATGGGGGGGTTTTTTTGAGTCTAGGGTGGCATTGAGGAGAGACCTTTACCAGTCTGCCTTGTTTCTTGTTTGCCAGCCCTATCAGCAGCTTTTAAGTCCTTTGTAAAGCATCTGGCAGGGAGAAACAATGCATTTTAATGAGCTATCTGAACTGTTTCTGATGCAGTATGCAATGGGAACTGTCAGGCCCCCTTCTTCAGATGCAAGGATGGTTGCTGCATCGATGCCTATCTGGAGTGTGATGAAACTCCCGACTGTGCTGATGAATCTGATGAGTTGTACTGTGAGCAATGTAAGTACTTTAAATTCTGGCTCAGACAACCTTACCATCTGCCCAGTCCCATGTAAGTTACAGGTTCTGAGTCAATACTGTTTGGTGTCTTCTGTTCTTATCTCCTGACCCTGCATTATCTCTTTCCACAGTATTATATTTGCAGGTTCTGCCATTTCCTGTATCTCTGCTGACTGCAAGAGATGGCCTTCCTTCTGTGATGTTTTCTGCTTCTTAAATACACTTTGAGTCTCTTCTCTGCACATATCTGTAAGACTTCAGGCCTTTCTGTCCCCTTTCAATATTGTTCTCACTGAATGATCTTACCTGCTCTCTAAAAGTGGGGAAATGGGGAAGGAAACCACCATTTCTCCAAGTCTGTCCAGTGGCACAGTCCCCTTAATATCTCCTTATGCTAATGTAAATGCACAGTGGTGAGATGCCCAAATCCACCCTATCTCCTACCTTCTTCCATCCCTCCTCACCTCTTCTGAATTCTCATAATCTCTTTCCTATATGTGGTTGTTTTCTTGCCTTTTTAGATTTGCAACCCTATGATTCATCTCTCTTGCCCTCTCATTTATTCTGGACTAGAGCTCTTTTATATTTCTTAAAACCTGGAGTGACTTTTCCAATACTTCCTGATGGAAAACAAAAATAAGAAAGCAGCCTTTATTTTCCTTAGTTTTGTCTCTGTATCTATGGATCGGAAATTGAGTTTCTTGTTACTACATTTTATCTTTCCCCTGTTCCTCTCATAATTTTGAGATATGTAAGAACATCAAATGATATCTCCCTTCCTCTGGATTGTGATAGCAAATGAAGGTACAGCAAAGCCCTGTCTGCCCATGTGTGCATGGACAGAGGCATTTCTTTTCAACTGGTGAGAGAAGTTTTAACATTAAATGTTTCCCTTGCAGATGCTCATGAGTTCAATAGACTGCAGAAAATCAATGTTACACATAAGCAAGGTATGTACCATCCAGAGCACCTAGGCTAACCTCTGCCAGCTTTTGTTTTTTTTCTTCGGTTTATTGTTCCATGGTAAAACTGCTTCCCTCTATAAATCCAAAACCAGGTGTAGCATCTGGATAGTCCTTGTAGTGAAAATGAGCAAGGGCCTGTTCTCTGACCATGAGGACAGCTGTTGACAGCAGGCATTCACTCTCCTGCTTAAACTTTTTCTATCCAGGTAGGTCTCATGCATGTTGCTTGCTGGGCAGTACCTGGCCTGTACACAACCCTGCAGCATGTTTTTGGTTTTTTGGGTTTTTTTTTTTTTAATAGTGCAAACCAAAGCAGTGTGGGGGACACAGCAATGTCTGTGCTTGATCCCATATCTTTGCCTTGTTTGTTAAACTGTAGACAGCAGACCTATCACAGGGATAAAATAATATATTCCAGATCACTTAAATGTAGCTCACTGCAGAGGAGACCTGAGCTGATCTGTGGTTTTTGGTTGTCCAAGCTTTTCATGTCCCCTTCTGCCTCCCAGGGAGGACAGGTCATTTCCACAGGGGAGTAAACCCTGGGGTTTACCATGACTCCACACTCTGAAGTTCCTTTTTCTTCTTGCTAGTTGGATTTATGGCAGGTGCCAGCTCACCTTTGCATTGCAAATTTGACCAGCTGGCAACTGAGCAGTGGGGACCTGAGAGCCACTGTTCTGACTATGGATTTCCTCTTCCATGGTGCTTGTGCTCTTTTGTTGTGAGCAGAAAATTTTGCTGCTTTGGGAAGACATTGCTCAGGCTAAAGCACCTGTACCTTGCTTTGCCAGGCCACTGTGTGGACTTGCCTGATACTGGACAGTGCACTGAGAGCATCTCCCGCTGGTACTATAACCCATTCCTGGAGAAATGTGACCCCTTCACCTACGGGGGCTGTGGTGGCAACAGCAACAACTTTGAACAAGAGGAAGAGTGCATGAAATCATGTTCAGGCATCACAAGTAAGCATACATAGCGTGGGCTGGAGTTTTACTGATCAAACTGGGGAAACCACCTCAGATTAAATTCTGTGGTCCCAAAGAGGCAGTGTCTTGGGGGCTTTCAGTCAAAGCTGCTCTGCTGTCAAACTCTGGCCATGACCCACAGTATGGAGGATCTACAGCATCTTTGTGCAATGCAGCCTGTCATTTCACAGAGCTGGAATCATTTGGGGTGCTGATGTAGAAGAAGAGACAAAGGAGGATAACAAAATTAACCAGAGATATATATGCTGTGAAGAGAATCTAACCTCCTGTCTTGGCTCCAGGTCTCCCCAAGTAAGAGGGAAGAAATTGAGAAAATCCTCACACTTGGTACATATTGCTTTGGAGGCCAATAGGAAGAAATCTGCTGAACTGTATCTGTTAAGAGGCAAAATACCTCTCTCAGCTACACTGGACCTCACAGCCTACCCTGAGAACTCAGTACCACAGCTGTTCAGGAGGGATGCTGTGTGCGTTCAGTCACTTCAGAGCACTGGAAATATGTCCTCAGAAACCTGTCTGATCCCTTATTCCCAGCCTTCTTTGTAAAACCTTTTTCCTCTCCTCTGTGTTCCCAATTCAGAAGCAGATGTAATTGGCCGAAGATGGGAATCATTTGAGTCCCAAACTGCTATGTTAAGTGAGTAACAATATTCCCAACCAATCTTTCTTGTTGCTTTTCCTTGTCATGAAAAATACTTTGTCTTTCTTTGCAAAGAGTAACTTTTTTTCCTACAGCCCTTTTGAAGCTGGGGGAGCAGTGTGGGATTTGTGGGATGCTGGCAGTAGCAAGAGGTACTTGTGCACTGTGCAACTGTGGTCCATTTTTTCCTGTGTCTGTGACTCAGTAGCTCTTACAGAGACTCCTGTTTTTCTTTCCATCAACTTGCATTAATGTTCCACAGTTCAACATCAGAAAATGGAAAGTAAAACTTTTCCTAAGGGCCAATTTCACACAAGGACTACTAACTTCTACAAGAAAGAAAGCTCAAGTGGATATGTGAATAATATCAAGTGCTAGACTGTGGGGAAATGTGATGACCCTATACAACCTCTCTACTGCACTAAAAAAGCCCAATGCTATTGCAATACAAGTTATTTTTTAAATGTGACATGAAGGTTATTCTTCTTAAATCCTAGAGATTGGTTTAATCTTTAAATTCACACTGTCTCTCAAAAGCATCATGTTTGACTGGCTCCACTGATGATGCAGGGGTTTGTTTGTTTGGAGAAATACTCACACCACTGCCAAGAGTACTTTCCCACAAACTCAGCCTGTCTTCCATAGCTCATTCCCTCAGTGTTGTCCCAGCCAGGAGGTGCTTTCTGTGACCACCCTTTGGTGGCCTCCCTGTTGAGGTATGACACAAGGCTGCTATTTCAGAAGGAGTTGTTATTCCTGGGGTTGTCAAACGGCCAAGCCTGCCAAAGTCAGGGAACAGCCTTTAGAGGGCGTGGTGCATCTGGGAAATGATGGGAGATACCATTAGGGAGAGACAGGCTGGCTGTGCCCTGCAGTTGCCATCTTTCTTCTTTGCTGGTTATGCAGTGACCACCGTGCTGTCATGTCAGCTGTTGCCTCTTCTCTTTGCCAGCACAGTTTCTGCAGCAGCTCTTGTGCTTGCTTCATCCTGGCCATTCCTGCTAATCAGAGTTTGTGGACCATCCCTTCTAACACGTTCATTTATTCCTGCAGGTGCCTTTGAGGTAGTGATTGCTGTGCTCCTCGGGATCTGCATCATGGTGGTCCTGGTGTTCATTGGCTATTTCTTCCTGAAGAAAAGGAAGAAGAGCAGCCACCGCCATCAGCCTCCCACTGCTACCAACTCAACCCTCTCTACCACAGAGGACACTGAGCGTCTGTTCTACAGCAGTGCCACCAAACCAGTCTGACCTACAGCCTCTCTCCCCAGTTCACCACTGGGGCACTCCCCAGAATTTCTGGAGTTCTGCTTTTAGACACAGGTTTGTGCCTGAAGGACTCGTTTTCTGTGAAGACATTTGGAGCGTCAGGCCAAGATTTAACTGTGATTTGGCAGTACTAGTATTTGTGATTGTCTAGGCTAAATGGCTGCTCTGGAAAGTGAGGAACTGGGAGCATTTTATTGCTCTCTGACATCCACCAGTTCCTAACCTCAAACAACCTAGTGAAATTCTGAATTATGTCTTTCTTCCTGCTCAAATCTGGGGCACAACTTTGCTCAGCTTCCTGAAGGAACCTGGAACTGGATCTGTGTAGCATTCATGTTGGTGAATGGTGCAAGCTCACCAGAGCCAGCAATTTATTTTCAGTGTCACTTTCTGCCACTTAACTTTGTATTTTCCTCCCCTTCTGGAAGGTGCTCTGCCTTTTAGCAGTCTGCCTGGTTGTGGTGCATCCCTCAAGATCTGTGGGATTCACATAATCATTCAGACCTGATCCAAGGGCTCTCTGACACTGTCTGGCAGTTCCTGTTTTCAACATGGATGGAAACAGAAATACCTCCTTAAGTCACTAAGCTTTGTTTTTTAACAGAAAAGCACATCTAGATGTTTTGCTGGCTGGCTGCTGTGTTTCAGTCTCCTGTGTACAGTACATGTTCATCATTTTTCTCTCAGTGAGTTGCCCTGGTTGCTTTCCCAGTGTTCAGGCTGAACCCAAACACATTGAGAAAATATCTATTTATTCTCACATGAAGTAAATGTCTGTACTTTTCCTGCTGATTGTGCAGAAAAGCTACAGCTCTGATTTTACTGCATTTTCCTCTGAGCACACTGCCTGACCTGACTCCCTGGCATCTCCCAGTGCACAGGAGTGGGCTGGATACCACCAGCTAATATCCACAGGCTCCCTTGCTCCTGCTGGCTTGTCCCTCCTGATGAAAGATGAGCCCAGACCAGCTCTGGGAGGTCCAAAGCTCATCTCTGACCCCAAGGCAGCATGTGAAATCCCCACTTTGCCAATGTCCTGTTCCCAGTCCTGGTCCTATATGTTCCGCTGTAGTCCCTTTGCAATGAGATGCTTCCGAGCTCTGTCCTGCATCTGCTGGTCCAGGCTTGTACCTCAGTGAGCTGAGGATTTCTGCTGAGGCAGAAGAAGCTATTTGTGAAGGGGCTGATGTGCTGTCAGCTGTGGGGCTGGCACCAATCCCTAAACTTCCAGTACCTGCTGCTCTTAAAAAACTGCTGTGTCTGTGTGTGTGTAAGAAGCATGAATCTACGTACAGACTTCAGTTTGAATGCTTGTGACCCTTTCAGAGCCAAGGCCACAATAGTTCTGGAGTGCTCTGGTGAAGCCATTCCAGCTCAGGACATTGCTCAGGTCCTCTCAAGTGCATTGGCAGGACAGCTGCCTCTTGGGTTGATGCCTGGGCTGAAAGGAAAAAAATGCTACCCAGAATCTGCTGGCAATCTGACTGCATGCCTCTCCCCATTACAGGCATCTGCCTCAGCATTCCTGGGTCAGATTCCTCCTTTTTGTGACATGTCTCATATAATTTCTTCCATCTCTTTGTTTTTCCCACAGCCTATCATGGCCTATACAATAAACCTAATGTCTTGATTTTTTTTTTTTTTTTTTTTTTTTTTTTTTTTTTTTTTTTTTTTTTTTTTTTTTTTTTTTTTTTTTGTGTGTGTGTTCTCACTATGATAATAAAGAGATGTTTGTCTTATCTGGCTTGGGAGTGGTGTCTGAGGAGCAATGACCAGCAGAGGGGGCAGGTGCCGTTCCCATGCCTGCTATCTCACCCCCTTTCATCTGTCTCAGCTGTGGTATCTTGGGAGAGCTGCTGCAGCAGCGGTCCCATGGCGTGGGGAGGGCTGGAAGCAGGGCTGCAACATATGCGGATACCTGAGGAGGAAACTACTGCTTGAGGTGTTCTGGGAGAAAGATTATTACCCACTAAGTCACCCAGAGAGCAAGGCAGGGTGTAACCTGAAACTGAGTTCCAGCTGGTCAGACTGGTTTGGGCTTTGGGTCTGAAACCAAAAGCAGACACTATTCTTCAAACAGGAGCTGCTCTAACTGTATCTTCAGGCTGGTGATCACTCAAGAACTGCGATGTAAAGTCAGCTAAATGTAACTGGCTAATTGGCAGTGGGTTTGTATGGCAACCAGGTGGACATGCCCTGCACCACTGACCTGGCCACCCTGGCTGGGCCTCCGAGTGCTGCTTGAGCAGGAACGCTTTCTCCCTGTTCTGGGCTGTGGGCTTTGCTCTGCCGTGACCACACACTCTACACCAGCCCTCCCATCGTGCCATCTCCAGCTACTTACAGGTGTAAGTGCAGATATTATCTCCCCTGTGCCCTGAAGGCTCCTCTGGGAGCAGCTCTGCTGAGCCCTGCTCAGCTTGGCCGAGGGGTCACTGCTCCCCTCCCGGCAGGAACCCCTGGCCTGGGAGCACCGCCTGAAACCACCACTGCTTCTCATGACAGTCTGCAGAGAGAGGTGGGTACGTGCTTTGCAGCCTCTTTCGCTTACACCACACCTTTGTGTCCCCTGGTGTTGGACACAGCCCTGTTGGAGGCTGCAGATCTGGCCTGAGCCCTCCCCCATTCCCCCATGCAGCTTCTGGGCCCATACCCCCAAAGTCCCACCTGCCTTCAGCCCCTGCACCTCCACCTTCCCCAAAGGCAATGCCTTCCCCACCGAGGTCAGTGTTTTCCAAAGGGTTGTTTGCAAGCCTTGAGGAGCCAGGCCCCTGGAGCTGCTGCCTCACTGAGGGGAAACTACAGCTCCTTCCCATTGTCCAGTCTGCCTGTTGGTGGTGTCCACCTCTGCAGAAGGATAACTATGGAAACTCCCTGCCCTTCCTGGCCAGCAAAGCTGTTTAGTCACCTTGCTTCCACTGTCAGGAAGGAGGATTTGCCTGAGCTTTTGGCTGAGATTATCCCAGCAGGCTGCAGGGGACCTCACAGGGTTTGTGTGGCTTACTGGCCTGGAAGCATTAGCTCGAAGCTAAACATCCATGTGTGTCTCTGGCATTCCCACAATGGCTTTGCAAACAAATGCAGCAGCTGCCCTGATGCAACAAGGGATGGCTCCACAGTGGCAGGCCAGAATACTGTTCTACACACAAAAGCCTCAGTGGGGTGAAACTTTCTGATTAGGTGCTTTAGCCCTCAGGCCTAATTTATTGCCTGAGGAAGAAATTCTGGTTTTGAGACTAAACTGTTCATTCTGGTTAAAAAGACGAGCTCTAAAGCTGGGGGAAAGAAGGAACAGCTTGGTCCAAGCACTGCATAATGTAAAGACAGACCTTGAATCGCATTTTTGCCCACCTTACTTCAAGCATTAGGAATGACGAGACTTGCTCCTACTGCAGTGTGCTTTGAGCTCCTAAATGGCACATATGCAGATTTGAAGTCTAGTCCACTATGTGGTAAGCAAACCTTGCTCACTAAAATAGTGCCTGTGTGAGAAATAGCCTGTGAAATCTTCCCAGACAAATTTTTTTTTTTTTTCTCTCCTTGGAATCATGGAGAGAGAAATTGTAAATACTGTCCCTTGGTTATCAAGCACAGAACTGCATGTTATTGTAATAACTTGTAGTCACAGAGAAATACAGTCGCCTCTAGAAGTTCTAGCAGCTCTGATCTCTTCTGCAGCACCTAACAGGGCATGGAGGAAGTTTTCTGCAAGGAAACCTGGCTGACCAGTAAGTGTTTCCTGGGCAAGGTGCCACATGAGGCGTGACAGAGTTTGTGTGGCCCTTATTCAATAATTGCCTCTCCAAGATGTCCTCATCTCCAGCTGTGTCAGGAGTTTCAAAACTAACCATCAGTTCCTGTAACAGCTTTAGAAGATTTTGCAGAGGCCACCCAACGTTTAATTACCATCTTCTCCAGGTTGCCCAGAGCCAGCCTACATGAGAGGACACACAAAATGACAGCCAGCAGCTGATGAGAGAGGCAGAGGAAGAGGAGCCCTGCTGGAGCCAGCCAGGCACTCTGATAGGAAGGGAATTTTTCCACAAGTCTCAGTGCATACAAAGAGCCTGTGTCTTTCTTGTCTGCCCTGACACACTTGACCCACATGATGGCTGCTTCAGGATTGTTAAAAAATATTTGTGAGCAGTTGAAGCAAAACATTGGTCTAGAAATTTGAGCTGCTGGGACTCCCCCAGCCAGAAACTCTTCTTTAAATGAAACTATAGTGGCCCTCTCATGTAGGCATTGTGGGAGCCTTTCCCTCCCTCAGCTGCATCCCCAGGGGCCCCAAGACTTCTGCCTCTGCTATGGGCTCCAGGCTGCACTGCTGCATTTTTTGTTCAGTATGGGGTGTTGCTCAGCCAGAGCAGCTGCCCAGGGTGGTTTGCCAGCTCCTTTTGAGATGTCCACAAGAGGGGGCAGCAATATCTTAGTATCCCTTTCGATGTTGCCTTGAACACTGTACTGTCAAAGCAGCAGGGACACGGTGCAGTGCTGGAGTTGATGCTGAGGTGGGAGATGTGAGCCTCTGTGAGCTCCATAGATGTGAGGTCCTGTTCACTCCCATCCATATCATGGTCTAATGTTATGGTCCATATTACCATACTCCCACAGGTCTCTGTCCTGAAAGATGGAGAGAGGTGGCAAAACCTTCAGAAGAACCTTCAGAGGATTGACCTAAGGTCTCCCACACCTCTTGTGGGTGTTCTGTGCCTTGGGTCTACTTTCCTTTGGTTTTGTATGGGTAACAGAGAGGAAGCCCCTGACACTGGAGTCACCACTCCAGCCCCAAAAACTTAGTGCAACTTAAAAAACACGTGGGTGCTTCTCTTTAGCTTTTTGGATCAGTTTCCCAGATTTGTTTTGCTGACTTCTACTCCTCTCCCGAACATACACATTACGTTTTGAAAGAAGTAAGAGACTTCCCCGGTAATCAGAGGACTTCAGGCAGTAGAACCTTCATTAAAACCAAAGCAAGCCAAAACAATTCTTTTAACAGACTGTCATCAAATTTGGAAGCTGGTAGCTCTGTCTCCCAAGCTTTGCCGTACAACCCTCCACTGCAAATCTACATTACATTAGAGGTTGACGGGGCATTTGTCACCCACTTGAGGAGGCTCAACAGCTCTAGGGAGCTGTGGGGTCATTGCATGGACCATGCAGCTCTGCAGGCGAGCAGACAGGAGCTGCCGGCAAGGATGCAACGCTCTTATTCTAATGTCCTCACTAGAGGTTTTTGGTGCATGGAGTTTCTGTTAAACCAGTTTGAACTGGTTCTCTCTCATATTTAGAAACTATCCCTGCTTATGCTGTAGAATTACACCCTGTCAACAAATTTTCCTTTCCCTCTCCCCTTAGAATTTTGTGATGGGGGAGCTCTTTTCCGCTTTACCCCAAAACTTGGGCTAGTCTGACTTCAATGGAAAATTAATTTCCCCAGGAATTGCCTCTTGACTGTCATGTCTCCAGCTAGCTGATCTATCCACCACTCCTCTGCTGCTCAGCCATGCAATTTCCATCCTACTTCCATTTATCTCCCCATTAAGCAGCTAAGGGCCTGGCCAGAGACAGAGTGCCTGTGCAGAGTGCAACCTCTCAGGTAAAGGGAGATGCTGGCACAGTGTGTATGTGCCCAATACCATTCTTCTCATCCCCTTGTATATGCACATTCTCAGGGCGCTTTAACTTCTCTCTTTTCTCTTGCATTCCCATCACATTACCGTTTTGAATATTCAAGACTGTAAAACCCAATGCAAATACCCGGCCATCACAAAATGAGTAAGCATCTGGAGGGCTCTGCTTGGAAATAGTCAATGTACCAGACACTTCAATTTAAATATTAAAGCGTTGTGTACTGGGGTAACTTCCACTGTTGGCAAACCCTGGGGCAAGTGGGTGAGGTCCAGAAGGAAGTCCAAGTACCAAGAAAATAGCTATTTGTTTTCATCAGTATTTTTTCACCACTAGTCTACTCTTTCTCCACAAAGCCCTGGATTCAAAGAACTGATCTAAGA